ATGTTGACTTGAAAACTAGAAGCACAGCATAGATTCAGGCTATACTACATCAAACGTTCACAGTGCTCTGAGTCTTGCTGCCTCTAAGCCAATGGTATTTCATGGAAGGTGAAACTAATCTATAACAAATTATTGACCACATACTGTAAGTAAAGTCAGCCTCAACCAAAGACTGGTCACCACAGAGCTCTGAATCAACAGCGACCAGATGTTAACTCTTCTCACCCACAAGAACCACTTGGCGAGATTTCCCTTTCTTGTAGTTGCTTTATGTGGCTATGGAAATACATGTATGGAACATTCAGCTACAAAGCTGACAAAACTCAGGGTATGAAGCGGGATAAGAATTTAACATTCAGCACTCTTATATCACCTACTCAACTCCCTGGTTCTCCAATATGCCATGGCCCTGGTCCCAATCTTTGTAGTAAGTCCCCATGTTCAAATGTAGCTTGTAAAGCACAGTCCTATATATTTTCAAGGGACTCACAATAACATTGGTTAGGAAGCATCATGAAGCCCCATTTTACAGTGGAGGCAGAGACTTACAGAGGTGCTCACAATGCAGAGCCAATATATAATGCAGGGAGTCTGGAACCTGTCCACCTCAAAGAAAGTCCTACAGACTTTTTATTACTCTAAATCACTCATAAGATTAAGCAAAGTCAAAACAAGAAATGCTATGCATTTCAGTTTATATTCCTTTTTGTTTCTGTTTTTACAGTGGAATTTTTGCTTGGCAACTAAAGCTTTGAAATAGCTGATTGTGATAATAACTACAGATACATGAATGTGAGATTCAACTGGGTTTAAAAAAATAAAAGAGACCACAGAGATTTCATCAATAGTAATACAGAAAAAAATAGCAATAATAAATTAAGGGGACCCACAGGGGGTTGCCCCAGATATTTACCTACTACACTCACCTTTGTCCTGAAACATCCCACTCCACACCCAGCTTCAGGTTATTGAACATAATTTGGTTGATGTCTCCTGAACTGTATAATCTGCTCCACAAAAACAAACCCAGTTTGTCTCCAAGCTACTTTTAAGTCCCTAACTCCCTTGTTACATGCAGTCTATGGAAAACAGCTGTGGCAAAGTAAATCATCCTACCCTGAGAAAGACCACAGTGTATTTTTTTTTCTTTAAGTGTGTTTTGAAGTCCTGGTTGGAAAATTAGTGAAAATTGTAAATCTGTTTGCAAATCTGGTCATGTCTAACTCTGAGATTAGGGCAAAGATTTCAATTTAAAAGTAAAACCGTGACAACCCCAGTTAAGCGTGTCCTCAGGCACTGCCAGCAGGGCCTTCACTCACTTCCACGGGTAGTGGATTTATTACGGGTACCCGACTCGCTCCCCATCAGACACCCCTGGAGTATTTACTTGAGACAGCAGGGTTCAGTCTGCACTTCCTCTGCAGACCAATATATTATTACAAATTGAGCTAAACTGTTTCTTTTTCATAAGTGCTATGAAGTTCAGGTATCAACACAGGGCTGGGGTCCTTCCATGGGGCTCCTTGTTATTTGGATTTTTAAAAAATAAACAAAGAAGGTAGCATTAGACTATATTTGCTTTTATTTTTGTTTTTTAATAGGAGATAGAGGAAGGTTCATTTTAGAAATTACATATGACATCTTTGTAAAAAAATATATTCTAAATGCACACTTGGGATACACTATCCTATACCTATCACAGCTAGGTTTGGAACTATTTCACCTCCATCTGAAGGCAGGAGTTAAGAATGCAAGAGATTTCATATCTTGTATATAAGGTCCTAAAAAGTGATAACATAAATTTCTTCTATTTACCACCTACCATGAATTAAGGGACCCAATGTCTATTTTAAATGTATATTCCTTATATATTTCAAAAGAATAATGAAATTATTAAATGTTTTCATTATTAATCCAGTTCTTAAACTCTGGGAAAAACATAACTTTAAAAAGAACAGAAGAAACAAAGAGAAAACCATCATCTTTTCTCCCCTTCCTGAAAAGCCATTAGGTGAGCCAGAGGCATCTTGCTCAGGTGGGAGGGAGGCACAAAAGCCCAGACCAAGGGTCAGTACTTGAGTGGGGGTGAGGGTGATGGATGCATCCATCTAGGGGCAAGGGCTGATGTGGGGTGCCAGACCCTGAGTGGGATTAAAATGACAAGTTCCAATTCATGCTTCTTACTAGCTGTGTAACCACAGCTAAGTGCATCAGTCTTAACTCAATTTCTTCTTTTGCAAAAACAGTTTTAATATTTGTTTAGTATTTGCTGCTGGGCACATTAAAAGAATGCTTAACTTTTCCAGCATGCCTGTAATCCCAGTATTCTGGGAAGCTGAGGCAGGAGGACCTCAAGTTTAAGATCAGCCTGGGCAACTTGGTCTCTTAGTGAGACTCTGTTTCAAAACAAAAGACTGGAAATATAACTCAGTACAAAGGCCCTAGGGTCAATCCCCAGTACTGCATACACACACATAAAAAGAATGTTTGACTTGTTAGTCCTCAATAAATGTGGTTCTTATTCATATTACTACAATTGCACATATACACACACACCAAAAAAGACTGAAAAGGAATACACTAATCATGAATAATTTACATATTTTTCTTTCATGTTACACTTTCAGAGTTTCCCTTCTCTATAATGAACACATACTGCTTTTTTAATCAGAAGAAAACACATAAGATGTTATTAAATATATAGAAGATAGATGAACTTTTATAATGCATATCTTTTTTTTTATAGACAAAAAGTAATAAACCCATTTTAAAGGCATCATTCTGGCCTTCTTTATTTTTATTTTTCCCTATTTCTGGGGGTTGATCCCAGGGCCTTCACACTGAACTACAAACCCTGTGCTTTTTTAATATTTTTTATTTTGAGACAAGGTCTCACTAAGCTGCTAAGCTGTCCTGGCTGGGCTGGAACTTGAAATTCTCCTTCCTCAGCCTGTCAGTGTGCTGGGATTGCAGGTATGTGCCAACACACCTGGGTTCTCATCTCTTATAGAGTTGCAAATTACTAATGGAAACTCCTGAATGTTCCTAACACTAAGAACATTCCAGATAGCAATGTCAGTCTATTGGGATCCAGGTGAAATGGTTCCATTTAGAGTGGAAAAAGCATTGTATATGGAGCCTGCAATCCATTCTGCCCTCTGCTCTGCTTCATACTAATGGAGTGACCTTGGACAAATTACTTAAGAACAATCACTGCCATCTCCCTCAGAAGATTGTTTGGCGATTAAGATTGCTTAAGTAAATCATCTGTACACTGTAAAGCAACATGCAGATGGAAGCAACAGATTAAGATCAGTGTTCAACAAAAGTAGGAATCATCACCCCATGAGAAGAATTTAAGAGGTAAAGGGACACAGCATTAAGTACCACTAAATCACTATGTGAAAGTCTCCACATAATCACCTTACAATCCTCCTGCAGACATTAATAAGAATGGTACCATTACATAGTTAACACTTCTCTAATAGTTACTAATCTCTCTCTTTTTTTTTTAAATGCAGAGATCACTAGCAAAGAAAGTAACAAGAACTTAATGCTGTTTTAGTCTCTCTATGTTTATATTTCTAAAACCCTTTTGGCTATGCCCAAGTGATACTGGTTTTCCACTTAAAGTAGTGATAGTAAATCTCCTTTTAAAATAAATTTATTCCAGCCAAGAGTGGCACATGCCTGAAACACCAGCTAATCAGGAGGCTGAAGTAGGAGGATCATAAGTTCAAGTCTAGACTGGGCAATTTAGCAAGATCCTGTCTCAAAATTTAAAAGTTAATAAATAAAATAACCTGCGTTTGTAGCTAAATGGTAGAGCACTTATCTAGCAAGTATACAGCCCTGGGTTTGATCCCCACCACAATAAATGTATAAATAAATAAATGTATTTATATCAGTGAAAGAAAAAAGAGTAAGTTTATTTAGAGAGAAACAGTACAGAAAAAAAATAGTACAGGTAGGTAGATATAGCAAGAATCTGAAAACTGATGTACAAAGAAATAAAAATTGGAAAATGTCAAAGAGCTTTGCATATGGTAAATTCCTTCAAGGAAAGGACTAAGATTTACATACTTTCAATATCTCTCCCAGGATCTTAGCCAGTACCTGGAATACAGAGCTCTATATGAATACTCAATTAACTAGGAATTAGTACTTGTCATAAACACTGGGCTGAGGCCTGGTTCTTCCTGGCTCCAAAACCAACATATCAGTCGATTTCCCCAGACAGATCAGAATGAGATAAACCTTGGATAATCAGACACTAGAGCCAAAGGATAGAACAAATTCTAAGGAGCTTTGTGAGGGAAAAAAAGGATACTGCTTGTACATTGCACTGGTTAACAAGTAGAGAGTCCCAAAACAAAACAAAAATGTTACAGTGCAAAGCACAAGTGTAGCCCCTATACTCCATGCTGCAGTTAGGTTAATCACAACTGAAACACTGTTTACCAAACAAATAAATGACAAGTAGAAAGATCCTGTCCTCAGGTCAATGTTTCTGAGAGGAAACTAATTTCAAAAGTAGCTGCAAGAGGCTAAGGAAGTTGAGGCCACCTCAAGTATTTTAGCAAGACCCTGATCCTGATTAATTCCTACTACTGCCAAAGTGTGTGTGGCGGGGAGGGGGGGGGTGGCCTAGAAAAAAATGTTCTCACTACTAAAACTTATACAGACAAGGAAATATTTTTCAAAGTTAAACTGATAAGTTGAGCTGGAAGACTTAGCTCTGATGAGGAATCATGAAAATAGTTTATGTGGGAACTCCAAATGTGCTAAACATTTAGAATGAAAAGAAAAGCAACTTTTTAAAATTTAGCAGTATCTTAAAAAAACAAAAAACAACTAGTTATCTGTTTTCATACAGAATATCCATTATTAATACAGAATGCTCAAAAAGCTTATTTCAAAAGACATATTAAAAATATGTTCTCAATAATCTAAATATAGATACTAGAGCATTAATATAATTTTGATCTTCCTGACATTACCAAGCATAAAATAGCAGTCTCCTTGGTGAAGGGGTATTGCCAAACCAGGCGTCTCTATATCCCACGAGATCTTAAAACCAACATGCCAGGTATCTGGATCTCTGCCTTCAAGATGAGAATCATCCTCTCTTTCTTCTTCAGAATCTGTCAAAAGAGAATAAAGTGATCAGGAAAAGAATGTATAAACTAAATCTCTGAGTACAACAATTGTTTTCTAAGAAATAATTGATATTTTAATAAAGTATAAATATTAAGAGTATTTCCTCCTTTCATGTCATGTTTTTAAAAAGATTAACTATTTTAACACGTCATGTATATTCTCATCAAAAAGTATTAATTAAAATGATGAGAAAATAACCACTGATACCAAAGAAGATAAAAAATTATTTTGTTCAATTCTAAGCAAATAAATTAGATATTCTGAATTAAATGGACAGCTTTTAAGGATGATATTAATTATCAAAAGCAACCTAGGAAGAAGTAGAAGAGCTAAACAAACCACAGAGAGTACAGAAGAAATTGTCAAAGAATTCCGTCACAGAAAAACACAGACACAGAGAGCTTCAAAGAATTCACTACCAAACAATTAAAGAGTAGACATTTTCGATGTACTTTAAATCTTTTAAGAGCACAGAAATTTCCAAATTCAAATTTCAAAATTCCAAATTCCTTTTATGAAAATACTATGTATCAAAACTCAAAAAAGAAAGCACACACATATAAGAAAATAGAATCCAATGTAGCTGCATATTAAAAGAACACATTCTATTACCAAATAAAATTTATTGTGAGAATACAAGGGTAGCTCAATATCCAAAACTCATCATATTCATTAAACTCATCATATTCATAAAACAAAATAAAAAGGCTATGAGTCCTAACTAGTCCTTTCATGAGAAAAATCTCAACAAAATAAGAACAAATAAATATGTTCTCAACATGATAAAATACAGACCCATTTCAATCCCAAAGCCAGCATCATATTTTAATAGGGAAACATTAAAAACATTCCCATAGTTAAGAATTAGGAAAGGATGTGGCACCACAATGATTTATCCTTATTCTGGAAGGAACAGCCTTCCTGAAGGTACCCTCTGGAGATGACTACTAGAGTGACCCAACTTAGAAAAATAAGAGATACAAAAATGTTTAAATGAAAAAAAATTTGCAGATGATATCATTATTTATCTGCAAATCAATGATGAAAATACATTCCATCCAATAGGCAAAGTTTAAAATGCTAGCTGCAAAATTAAATCACAGTAATTAATAACTTCTAAAAATATAAACAAACACCTAATTTATAGAAAAAAATCTTTATAATTATATTATAGGGCACAAAAGAAGGTTATAACAGATGTGAAAACATAACTATGTTCTTGGAAAAGAAGATGGAACATCATGGATTCCTAAATTTACTCATAAATTTGACTTAATAAAACAAAGATCAACAAGATTGTGTTTTAGGTGAGTAAGTGGTGTTGGCAACTGAACAACTTGATGCTATATTACAGCAGTGCCCTCTTCTGCCTAAGTTGTTGGAGATACATTCCAAGACCCCCAGTAGATGGCAGAAATTAGGGAAATTACTGAATCCTATAAGTTATGCTTCTTCCTATACCTATGTACCTATGATAAAATTTAATTTTTAAAGAGATTAACAATAACATCATAAGAGATTAACAATAACATAAAAATAAAGCAATATCTTAAAATATCTTATCATTCACCTTTTCACTTAAAGGAAGCACTTTATACCTCTTCACCCTATCCAAATTACCAACATCGCTACTCTTGTGCTTTGGGGACATTAAGCAAAATATGGACTACTTGAATACAAACGCTGCAATATAACAACTGATCTGATAACTAAAAGGGCTAAGTGACTAAGAAGCAGGAAGCATACTGTGGCATGGATATGCTGGACAAAGGGATGACTTACATCCTTGGTGGGAAGAAATAGAATGCCATAACATTTCCTCACACTATTCAGAGAGGGGGCATGAAATGTAAAACTTATGATTTATTTCTGGAATTTGCCATTTAATAGTTTTGAACTGCAGTTCACCATAGGTAACTGAAACTGCAAACATTGAGGTCAAAGATAAGGAAGGACTACTGTATACAGGAAAATACAAAAAAGAAGAAATGTTTGTCTTAATATATAAAGAGCTCTTATTATTTTTTATTATTTTTTTTTCTGGTACCAGGGATTGAACTCAGGACCTTGCGCTTGTGAGGCAGGCGCGGTGCCACTGAGCTAAATCCCCAGCTCCATAAAGAGCTCCCATACACCAATATGATTAGAATCAATAGCTAAAGAGAATAATGGGCAAATGTTATATAGACAGAACACATAAAAGACAACAAAACTAGGGATCAGGCTGTAGCTCTAGCTCAGCGGCAGAATGCTTGCCTAGCACACACAAGGCCTGGGTTGATCCCCAACATTACGAGAGAGAGAGAGAGAGAGAGAGAGAGAGAGAGAGAGAGAGAGAGAGAGAACAAGCTCATAAACATAAGATGTCCAATTTATTCACATAAAAGAAATGCAAATTAAAGTCACAAGAGGTATTTTTCATCTGTGAAATTAGAAAATATACTTGTTTTTGTGTGTTTTTACAGATATTTAGAAAAAAAAACAGTATTAGTAAGAGTATAGCAGATGGCATCTTAATAATCTCTGTAGAGGAAGGTTAATTTGTCACTATTCTCTATCAAAATTACAGCTGCATAAACCCTTTTACCCTTATCAACAATTCCACTTTTAGAAAAGTAGACTAAAATCCCTATGTGCAAAAGATACAAAATGACTATGAGCAAACATATTTATTGCCATACTGTTTATTATAGAAGTTTATAAAAGAAAAAGATCAGAAATAAAAGTCCATTTATAGGGTTCTGGTTAAATAAAATCTAGGCAATAAAATATGTAGCCATTAACTATACGTACTGATATGGAACTATCTGATTTGCCTTTGAGAGAAAAAACTAATAGGTTAAAATTTGTACAAAAATGCAGTACATGTAATATTCATGGGAGAATAATCAAGACTGATTTTGGAGGATGTAAGAGCAGAAGAGGCACATAAAGGAAGCAGAAGGTATACACTATGATTCACATACACTCACAGTCTTGCAAGCATGGCCCTACATTAAAAATTTTAAAAATTTTTAAAGAAATATTTATTGAGCACTTTCTATATATTAAGCACTGTACCAGGTGCTTTGAATATATCTTACTGAAATGAAGAACTGTACCCTAGTGCAGCATTCTTCCTAGTGGAACTGTTCATGAGCTCACTGATTACTATTAAGGGGGCATTTTAAATTTAAATTCCATCAGACCATAAACTGCTCTACTAGACTCTGGTCTTACCAGGACAAGGTCCATTTCTCTGTTTCATCCCCGTGTAAAGCCCTAGTGACTGGCACTGAGAAGGCACTCAATAAACACCTGTACTAAACTGCTTGCTTAAATAAAATGTTCTTTCTGGTTCACGCTATTCACAGTCCATACCATGATCAACAGCATGGCAAGATGTTAATTATGAAGAAAAAGTAAAACTACCTCAAATTAAATCAAAGAACGTAATAAATCATAACAATCCTAAACTAGTACAGCCCTCAACACTAACAAGGATTAGGGAAGAGAAAGCTCTCCTGGAGAAGGTGCAATTTAAAAGACAGTAAGATTTAAATTGGCAGAGAGTAGAAGTAATGAGAGAAGGCAAGAAGATGCAACGTTGTATGCAATCAAACTGGACATTAAAGCATATTTTACTTAAGCTACATTATGTACACAGCATGTGAATAATCTAAAATATATTCATTCCAGATCGCATGTACCTATACACAGAATCACCAAATTCTAAACATCCTACTCTACAATAACCATACACAAATGGTCAAAAGCAATAAAACAAAAAGCAGAAAAAAAAAACTTCCCCTTACGACTATTCATTCACATTACTTTGCACTAAGTATGTATAATGAAAAGGAACCAACCAAAAATCCAAGTTTACGATCTCTGCAAGAAAGAAACACTACTGAATAACCATTAAAGATACATCCAACTTCAGATATTCTTCAATTCACTAAATTTATAATCTAAAATCCAATACTGCAGTATTAACAAAATTGTATCACCTTTCTACTTTGTTCTTCTAATACATGTTCTCTCAATTACTTTTTGGTTAAAAGTATCTTTTAGGAGATTTGAGAATAATATCATATAATAAAAAGTCCAAAGCCATTTCTTCAGTTAATCCCAAAAACATTTTAAAAGAATCCTCTGGAATAGGGACGATAAATATCTTACATATCAGAGGACATGGCTGATTTGTTGTGGCTTGAGTCCTGGTAGAGAAGAATTCCAAAATGTTCTCCAGGCTTAGGGGGAAAAGTGGCATAATCAATTACTGATGTCTGTCAGGGTATTAGGAGGGTTAGTGGCACCAGAGAGCTGCTTTCCATGTCTGATGGCACTTCTCCTTTATACATAATATATACTCACACTTGAAAATACCAGAATTCACTAAACTATGGCTTATGAAACAGAAAAGAATTCTCAAAGGCATGTAACGTCACTTGCACTGTATTATTTTAACAAATCTAAATTAGTTGGCAACTGACAAAAGCACTTTGCAAAAAAATCCAAATTCATAGAAAACACCAATCCCTTCTCTAAAGTATTGATAGTTGTTATTTGATAGAGATGTTTACTGTACATATTAATGAAGAAGCTGAGACAACATGAAATAATGATGTAATATGACTAATACCTAATAATGTAACATGACTAATAATAGCATAAGAATAATAATTAATGCTAGATTAGTTGATATCCATATCAATTAGCAAAAGAATTATGATATAAGAAATCATAGGTTTCTATTTCTACTATCCCAAGCCTTCCAGAATGCTTCATCCAATGGATCCTACTGACAAGAGATGTAACAAATAACACAAGAAAAGCAAACAAATATTTCAAGGTTTTTTATGTGTCCCTGTCTTGTTCAAATCAACAGTAACTTTAAAAAGAAATGATTTTTAAATTAAAAGTACAATGCTTCTCAGACGCTTGAAACACCCCTGAGTTTGGACCTTCTAGTAAGTGGCAATCTCTTTATAAGTTAACAGGC